TCAGAAACAATAATACATGCATGCAAAATGTATCTTTATTTTGGATTCAGATTTACTGGCTGGAACGAGTCATTTTGAGATCTATCAGGGAATAATGAGAAATCAAGTCTTACAGCTTTGTAGATTTTTCTGAACTTCAAATCCCAAGAGCTGAAATAGCAAAAGAACATTGAGATATGGATGCTTGGTGCTAAGTGTAAACTATTTGGTGTTGAACCACTTCAAGCAGGAAATATAACAAAACTCCCCGTTTCTTGCATAAAATGGCTAACTTTGAGTATTTTGACTCTTTCGAACTTTAACCAGGGTGTTTTAAGCTTGCACGGCTGCTTTAAATCATTTCTAAAATAATCAGAACAATCTGTTTCACACTCAAATAATCCGTTTAGTATTTGAAATTGGGATTTTTGTAGTTTAAAGAAGGTTTATGCTTGAAGTAGTTCAAAGGAAACATTTTCACACCCTACTGGGTATTACATATTAATAACATCTGGAGGACCATGGCTTCCCCAAAGTCTGATTTAGATTAAGGCACAGCTACCCAGAAACTTAAACTTAACGCAAGAGCTGTGGCACCTGATAATCTCTATACTGCTAAAACTCTCATTGTCATGACTAGAAGAATCAGGGCATCACAGGGCAATGGATTTTTCAACCAGGGCACCTCAAATGGGCTAACTTACAGAATGTGTCCCAAAACCAGGGACCCATGACTCCAGAAGGAATGCCATTTGGGGAAGCTATGGCTGCTTCAGTGCTTACTGGCTGCTGTTGAACTGCTGGCACTCAGGTCTTCTTTTTCAACATTCCGTGACAGTTTCCCAGCCAGTCTCACAATCTCTTGCTCTTTCCAACCCAGAAGTAGCAACTTACCCTAATGCTCCCTACCAGATAGGGAGGAAAGGAACAAGGAAACTCAGCGGAAGCTGGACAGAAGTCAGAAGTTGTTCCTGTTCCCACTGTTGTTGTTTTTTTGCCTGCCCTTGGCCATTCTGCTTCTCTATTTAGATAGGGGAATACAGGTAAGTCCTCAACTTACAACAGTTCATTTACTAACCATTCAGAGTTACAACGGCACTGAAAAAAGTTATTACTATTTTTCACATCTATGACCATGCAGCATTCCCCATGGTCACATGATCAAAGTTCAAATGCTTGGCAACTGGCATGTATTTATGACGGTTGCTGTGTCCCAGGGTCATGTAATGACCTTTTGCAACCTTCAGGTCAGGAGGGAAGCCAGATTCACTTTACAACTGGATTATATCTTATCAACTGCTGTGATTCACTTAACCACTAAGAGAAGAAATGTCATAAAATGGAGAAAAATTCATTTAACAAATGTCTCTCTTAGCAACAGAAATTTTGGGGCTCAATTGTGGTCATAAGTCAAGGACTACTGTATGTCTGAAACGATGGGTCAACAGGGCACTGATGGTCTAGTCTATTCTAAAATGTCCTTTTATTCAAGTTTTTGTGGGGAAAGCTTTATTCAAGTTTTAATGTGAAGTAGAAGATACTGGTCAATTCAGACAGCTCTACAAACAGTGGTTTGATAATTTGATACCAGAATTTTGGGAGTTGAAATCCACACATCTGAAAGTTCTCCAGGTTGAGAAACACTGCCCCTATTCAGCATAAGGCTACTTTCTATACTTCACAGCAATATATCTGGATTTGATATCAAATGAAAACTCATTAAGGATTTAAATTCCACCCCAATTCATTAGTGGGGGTACCTCTTCAATGCAGATACTTTTTAAAGAAGCAAAATCGTTAGTAATTCTCAGCAGGGATTCAGAGAGCTACTCCAGACATAATCTTAGAATTGTCTAAGCTTACGATATTACTGATTAGTCTTTTTTGCAGTACACCATTAAAAATTGCTAATGGAAACTTTAAAAAAACATGCAGTTTTTTTTGAGGTTAATGAGTATGCTGTAGAAGGAATGGAAATTCCAAATCACTTTAGCATGCATGAAATTAGCTGTGTATTTCTGGGACTTCAACCTATATTTTTTTAACATCTTCAGCTTCACACAAAGAACGGCTATCTAAAAACACATATGTAAAGCCAAGCCACAAACGGGAACGGCTGTGTGAAAACATCATGGTACGTTAAGGTCCCTCAACTATGCCAATAGAGCACTGGTGGGCCATTGCTGTGCTACAGTAAAAACACACTGCAGCAGTGCCTTTTATCAATCAAATAATCACAACAAACAAAACTCCCAGCAAAGCAAATAACTCTTGTGATGGGTAGACCTAGAAACCCCGGTTTCCATGGATAGTGTTTGTCCAATTTGGAGCAGAGGAAAACAACTGTGATGGATAATCTGAAGAAAGACAATTGTGGCTATACTTATGGCAGACCAGAGCTACTGTGGATTGGATTCCATCTATCTGCCAGCCACCTAACCTTTAAAAGGATCATTGTTGGTTGCAAAACCAAATGCAAAGCGGCCAGAAATCTGGAGGCTTAAACTATGGCTTGCTCAAGGAGACATAGTCTTTCCAAAAAGAATTATGAAACCTTAAACAGGGAACTCTAGGACAAGCATTGCTGCAAATGTCGGAGACTATCAAAAGCATCTTTATACTACGTTCCTCTAAGTTTGTAAAGAAAAAAAAGGCTACATACACACACACACACACACACACACACAGCCATACACATGCACGCACAATAATATACACACATTCATACACAAGTAAAATATATTTATAAACTGCTCTTCACTCAACCCGAGTTTCCTTTTACTTCTTCCTTACTCCTACTTGACGCCACTTCTTATATTGTGTTGTTTGTGTGGAAAAAAACAGGCCTGCTCTTGCCAAGAGTGACCTCAGCTCATTCTTATTTGGTGATACACAGGAGAATTTCACTCTAACAAACACTTGCAAAGTTTCAAAGCCCCAAGGTTATTGGCGGCCTTTTGCTGTTTGCACTAGTTGCTTGTTTTCTTGTGATCTTTGATGGCTATAGACCAAAAAAAAAAAAAATCCAGATTGTTATAAAAGGTTTTAAAAGACTCCCTTTATGACAACCACACCAATAATCTGAGTAACAATATGATTAAATAATAATCTGAAGTAAAAATAGAAAGCCCAAAATACTGTGCAAGCTGAATACTGAGATCTCTTTTTCCCAATGATGGATGCAAAAAATAGCAAGGCCAAAAAAGCAAAACCCAAAATATATGACCCAATTTAAATGATTATCCAGAGTTTTTTAAACTGGGACAATGACAACCAAGGGAGAGAAACGATCACAGCAAATCAATGAACCAACAAGAGCCTCAGCACACTAACTTGTTGAAGGCCACTTTTTCTCAAAATTGACTATGTCCAAGTTAAACTGTACCACTCTCCAATACTGTAAGCAGGAATATAGTTGTGGGGAAAGCAGTGGAGGCAATAATCCAATTGAAGCAAACACAACCTCAATTTATTGGAACATAAAAGCATAACACTCCACAGGAAGTGGTTTTCAGGGGTGGGGGATCAGTGGTGCCATGGAAACCCCTACTTGATCCTCAGGTTGGCACCTTAGCCATCCAATCTCAAAAAATTCCCCTCCTATCAATCACCTGAGTACCTGCAGAACATCCCCTGTGATGCCTATTGTCAGCATTTTCTCCCTAAAAGCATAGATTTTACATCAATAAGTAGCATTAATCAATTAGTAACAAAGAGTCTTTCTTATATCTTGATTGATTCTCCACGAGCAACCGGATTCCTTTCTTGTAGCTCGGTGTCTCTCAACCTGAAAAACTTGGAAAGGCATGGGATTCACTTCCCAGAAAATTTAGCAATGTTCAAGCTGGTTGTGGAATTATGGGAAGTGAAGTCCACATACCTTATACCCAGGTTGGGAAACACTATTGCAATTCATCCTGACTTCAGGTCTCAAAACCAAAGCGTTCTTATGAACTCCTTGAGTGGAACTGCCCTTGAATCTGGGCATGTAGCTTGCCCTAAAGACCTCTTGCTATTCTGGTATCCTGTTTTCTTAAACCAAGGTTTCTCAATCTTGGCAACTTTAAGATGTGAAGACTTCAGCTCCCAGAATTCCACTGAAGTCCACACATTTTAATGTTGCCATGGTTGAAAAACACTGCCTTAAACAGCACTCAGGATTCTTGTGACTGTTCTGCTCCGAATTTATACTTGCGCTCTCTCCAGTGGGGTCCCTGTGCCAAAATTCCACTTTCCTCCTATCAAACTATCTCCCAACCTTGCATGACTTGAGTAATTTGAGTTGCCTTGTCTAGCCTGAAAAAAAGAGCAGAACTTCATTCTTTACATTACTGGGGATGTAAAACAGATCATGATGCTGGAGCTGGCTTTTAAAGGACAAGAATGAGATGGACAGAGACAAAACTGTAAACATACGTGGTTAATAAAAAATAAACCTTGAGTCCAGATTGTAATTTAACATCAAGGTTTATTCCTAAAGTCTATAAAACAGCAAATATAATTTCAATCTTTGGAACAGGTGGTAAAATGGAGGTTAAAAGGGGCCCATTAATCTCCTTTACTTAGAAAAATGCAAAAAAGTTTTTTTAAAAAAATAATCAAACATATAAATGATGATTACAGGATGGGGTTTTTTTTCCAATATGTTAGCTAGATTGATAATTTCATCGACTCATCACTAGGATGATAATATTCTTTTCCTAATCAGGCCTTGATTGTTCTCAACCCATTAATATACAGTATAATGTGAAGTTTGGATTTTTTGTGTGTGCCAACATACCTAATGTTAAACAGCATTTACCATTCTGACATATTTTCGAACTTCAGAATATAATAATCCAGTCCATGATGGCTTCCTCATTTCCACTCATCATTAAAAGGACCATGAGGCCAATTTTTAACTTGGACAAAAGGGAATGTACCCTCCATGTTACAAATCTGGCTCCTTCCCATTCATCTGTGGGCTCTGAGGATCTTTTCCAGGCCTTAAGCAAATACTTCTGATCACTTTAAATAGTAGGGTTGTTTTTTATTTTTGAAGTTCTCCAACAGAACTGCTATGCATCAGAGAGGTGGGAAACAGTGCCACCTGTTGGATTTAGAATTTTTATGTACAAAATATTTTACAATATTTGTCAAAAGTATTTTACCAAAGTTGGCAAACAGCTATTTGTTTATTTTTTTTAAAAAAATCAGTAATATAAGAATGGTACCCCAGAAGGCAACACATCCCCTTAAAGATATTAATAAGTATTTGGAACCTCCAATTACTTCTTCCACTCACAGTACTAAAATGTTGCTTTGGGACCATATCTCAAAATGAAGTTTTCTGTGACCCAAATAATAATCAGGGTGGGTGGAACCCCACAAGGTAAAGGTAATGTTAAGTCATTATTTGCTTCAAATCAGCTTCTTGAGGGAGACTTCTGCCAACAGTAATGGAAACATTTGAGAAACACTAAAACCAACAGCAGCTTTGGAAGATGAAACCGGTGCCTAGGGCAGGGGTGTCAAACTCACCACAACACATTGTTGTCACATGACATATCACAACTTTGCTCTCCTTTGCTAAACCTGGGATGGGTGTGGCCAGCGCATGACACATCTGGCCCACGGATCGTGAGTTTGACACACCTGGCCTGGGGGATGAAAAGCTAATCTTCCCTTCATCATTTGCTACAGGAAAGAGTCACAGGGCTTCCTCAGGATAGGCATACAACAAAAGCAGGCATTGGTGCAGTTTAGGCTACTTCAGTTTTGCCTACAGTACTACTTGACCAAAGGCTCATGTGAATGGGTGGATAGATGATGTTGAGATGCCTCACTCAGTTGCAACTGACCTTAACTATGATCAACAAAGAGTTGGCTCTTAAAAAAAACACTGGATATTTGCCTCCGATACATTTCACTTTTTACAATCAAACAAAGGTACCCAGATGCTTAACAACAGCATTGAATGAAGAACAGAATTCACCATGCGTGGATCAATCTTGAATAGTAAAAGGATTTCACCCAACTTCCAGAAACACGTTCCTTGATATTGATGTCAGGATGTTGATAAAGCCATATAAATTTGACAGATATATGAATACTGACTCTGTATTAAATGCCTGGCTTCTTGTTTCGAGTCAATGTTCAAGTTTCATATTTCATTACTTGGGCATTTAATAGTCCTTTCCTTACCAGCAGGGACATCATTAAATGTCTAATTCACCGATAGTCAAATTCGTATATGCTTGTAACAGAAGTTCACTGACACGGCTCAGCTAGGGCAGATACTTCACTGCAGACAAGAGATAGCAGTCACACACGCACCTACGGCTGAACACAGAACTCAAATGAAAATCTTGCTCTCTCATCTGAACCGTGGTGGTGCAGTGTTTAGAATGTAGTACTGCAGGCTACATCTGCTGCCTGCCGGCTGCCTGCAATTTGGTAGTTCAAATCTCGCCAGGCTCAAGATTGATTCAGCCTTCCCTCCTTCCAAGGTGGGTAAAATGAGGACCCAGATTGTTGGGGGCAATAGGCTGACTCTGTCAACTTTTTAGAGAGGGCTGTGAGGTCTAAGTGCTATTTCTATTTTAATTTTAGATCTTTTCCTGCTGCTTTTTCAAGTTGACCAAAATTTAGCTATCCCCTTTTCAGTCTAGAAGTTAGGAGGCTCCTATTTAGTGCAGATCATGTCTGGTCAGAGAAGCTCTGTTTCATAGCGTGTGAACTTCAACTCCTGGCTCTACCTCACCAGCATAACAATGGGAAACCTGACCTTTTGGGTATAAATGAGGGATCCCTCACACAGCATCAGACTTCAATCCTTTAAGAAACTTGCAACCATTCCTGGTATTCTGCAGCTGTAACATATTCCCAGAAAAAGTAGCATTTGTTTCAAAGGGTGGCACTGGGTGCTACATATAAAGCATCATGTACTTAAAAAACAGCTCAACCAAAAACAGCTACTGAGAACTGTTCCCTGCCCCCACTTTCCACCTTTAGGCAGTTCAACCAATCACTGCCAAAGACTTAAGTCCCAAAAAATATTTATTCAAACTTTTCTATATCAGGTTGTCAAGCAATTGTCTTTATTCAAAACTTTAAAGTATAAACAGGACCACACTGGATTCAAATGTTAACTTTATTTGTAATAGTAGCAGCATGAAAAATAAAGCTGGCAATGAGCTTAAGACAATACATGTTAACAAGGCACCTGGAAAAACTGTTTTAGGCAGCCTTCCCCCTAGAAGTACCTTTATTTATTTATGTATTAAATGTCTGTGCTGCACATCTCACTGATACATCAACTCTGGGCAATTTTGATGGAAAGATAGTTTTCCTGTCTTGTAAAAAACTTTACCTTGAACTATAACACGGTAGCCACACACTACAAAAAAAGACTGCAAAACCAGAATGATACCTTTCAGTACTGTAACTAGTTTCTTCACGCCATCTGTCACAAGAGTAACATTTAAAGTTATTAATGATGTTGGGAAGAACATAAGGCAAAAGCATCCCCACAGGTTTTACCTTGCTAATTGTGACCCACTTTAGGGGGCAGCGTTCATCTCTGTTTCTTAAGACAAAGACAGCATTGAGACATTACCGTGGTCATGTGACCAGCATGACATCATGCTGCAGCACAGAGCCTACAGCAAAGCACAGAGCAGTTACCTTCTGGCATGCTTCTATACTTGCCTTTGCATGCTTTCGAACTACTAGGTTGGCAGAGAGGAGCTGGGCCAAGTGACAGTAACTCTGTCATGTGGCATTCAGGTCTAGAACTGCCAAGCTGTCTAAGAGTCAGCAATTTAAGCACTGAGCCACCACATCCCACTTGGGGAGGAGAGAGAACTTTAGTAGCCTTAGGCAATACTTCCCCCAGCATCACATTACATGGAAAAAGTGGCAGAGGGCTACACAGAAAGGACTGCCCCACATTCAAGTCTACACAAACATAAAATTTGATGGCAATTTTTCAAACATATTTTTTGTTCTGGTGAACAAAAGTCTTAAAGCCAACAATATTATAACTTCAATTACAAAATAGTTGAAGGACTGTATGAGGAACAGGAAGAGGAGAAGCCATTACTGATTTTGCTCATTTCCTTTTTAGTGCTTTCAAAACTTAACAGCCCAAAACAAAGGAGACTAAATAAGAGGAAAAATAGGAATGTTATGAAACACAAGGAATCAACAGTGTTGGGGGAAGGGGAAACCATTATCCAACTTATGTGGACTTTGGATATTTTTACCTTTCAACAGAGGTTGGAAAGTGGGGATTTCTTGTAGTTTTATGACATCTGGGTCACTGCTGACATTCCGTGATGCCTGAGTCCCTTGGGCCACCACCACAATATCATCCATTTTAGCTCGTTGCTTGGCTGGTGAAGGAGATGCTGAAAAAAAGGACACAAAACCAAAACCGTCATCATTGCTTCTCATCTCTTTTTGATGTCTGAGTCAATGTTGACTCTTGGCAAGTACCTGGATTAATATTTGCAGTTTTCATGGGAAGGTTTTTCAGAATTGGTTTGCCCTTCCTGGGGCTGAGAAAGCATGAATTATTTCTCACTAGCTTCCAAACCTAAAGTAGATCTTTCTTTCTTTCTTTTTCTTTTTATCTCATCTATCTATCTATCTATCTATCTATCTATCTATCTATCTATCTATCTATCTATCTAACTAACTAACTATCTAACTATCTGTCTATCTATGGCAAAGCATAAACAGCCATGGGTCAAAATGATGCCTGTGCATAAAATAATTCACTGGTAATACACATTTCTCATTTCAATTCTAGAATTTCCTAGTATGGCTGGCTAGGGAATTCTGGGAGTTGAAGTCCACACCTCTGAAAGTCTATGGAAATTCTCAATCATTCAGTTCATGGTTGTCCCAAAAGTGCCTTTTTCCCCCCCCAAAGAAGCAACTGGACTTTCTGGGGTTTTGTTTTTCTTTAAAGACATTTCGCTTCTCATCCAAGAAGCTTCTTCAGCTCTGACTGGATGGTGGGGAAATGGAAGGATTTATACTCCTTGCAGAGGCAGCTGGTCATTTGCATTCTTTTTAGAGAATCCTTGAGGCCACCTGGAGGTTATCTGTGTCCTCAGGGTCACCTGAGTGGTGCAAATGGGTGTGGAGAGCCTTCTTGGAACTGTTGAAAGGACTGGGTTGTAGAGTGGAGAGAGATGATGGTCCTTTCAACAGTTTCAAGAAGGCTCTCCACCCATTTGCACCACTCAGGTGACCCTGAGGATACGGATAAACCTCCAAGTGACTCTCTAAAAGGATGCAAATGACCAGCTGTCTGCAAGGAGTATAAATCCTTCCTCCACCATCCAGTCAGAACTGAAGAAGCTTCTTGGGTGAGAAGCGAAACGTCTTCAAAAAAACAAAAAACCCCAGAAAGTCCAGTTGCCTCTTGAAGAAAAAAAAAAGTACCTTTGGGACATACCTCGGAAAGCTGCCGAGACTGAACAACCCAGCTGCAGTCTACCCCGCTTTCTAGCTTCCAAGGGACGATTGGCATCCAGCCCCTCTCTACCCGCAGCTCTTCAGCACAACGAGGGTTTGGGGCCGCTGGTGAGCAGCCGGGAACGCCCCGTCGCGGGCAGGGAGCGCTTCGGACTACAACGAGGGGAAAAGCAGGGAGGCGAAGCTACGCGGATGCCGCCGCTCGCCCGCGCTCCCCCCCCCACCCCTCCCCACTCGATATCCAGGCTTCGGAGGGCTCATCCGTCCCTCTCAGGAGCGCCCACCTGTCGCAGGGTCGTGAGGGCGGCCCTCAGCCTCGGCGCTCTGCTCGGACCCCATCACCAGGCAACGGCGGGGGCCGCTACGTCATCCCCCCGCGACACCAAGGCATCTGCGCGCGCGGGGCCGGCCGGAAAGAGTTCTTCCCTGAGAGTTCTAACCACGCCCCCTCCCTCACACCAGGCGCTTCCGCTTCCTATCGGGAAGCGGCCGCTTCTTCAGGGAAACAGGCAGCGTTCGCTCCCGTTACGTGGCTGGGGAAGGCGGCGGCGGCGGCGGCGGCGGCGGGGGGAGGGGGCTGAGTCGACTCTCCGTAGCGGTTTGGGCTCCGTTCGGGAAACGGGCGTGCTTTTCTGGGAAAGCAGCCTCCCTGAATCTCATCCTGCTGCCGGTTCTGGACGGCTCGTTCCAAGGAAACCCCCCATCTACCCACCGGTCTTGTGCACGGGGCTCTTCCCTCCGGCCAGAGGATGTGTGCCTCAGCCCGTTCCCGTCCCGGCCGGAGGAAGGAGCCGTGATACCATCACTGGGGTGAGCCTGGGGCACAAGGATAGGAAGATGGGGGGGGCGGGGGGAGCATTAGAAGCGGGGAGGGGTCAGAGGGGAGCAAGAGAAGCGGGGGGGGGCAACGGGGTCATTGGGCCATGGAGAGGGGGCTCTCCCCAGCAACAAAAGGGTGCCTTTTGCAGCCCCCCGCCCTGCTGCCTCTCCCACCCCTCTACCTTGGTGGTGAGTCATACCAGGCACACTTGTCCAAACAGAGTCTCCACTTGCAACGGATTGGGAATTTTCTCTTGGTGGCTCCGGTTGGTGTTCTTCACCACAAAGCCAGTGGCCCATAATAGCAATAGCCCTTAGACTTCTATACCACTTCACAATGCTTTAGAGCCCTCTCTGAGCAGTTTTACAGAGTCACCATATTGCACCCACCCCCCGCAAAAAAAATCTGGGTTCTCATTTTACCAACCTTGAAGATGGAAGGCTGAGTGAATCTTGAGCCGGTCAGGATCGAACTCTTGGCAGTGAGCAGAGTCAGCTTGCAATACTACATTCTAACCACTGTGCCACCCGGAAGGAGAATAGGAAGGAAGGAAGGGCTATAGCAATAACACTAGCACTTAGACTTATATACTACTTCACAGTGCTTTACACCCCTAAGCGGTTTAGAGAGTCAGCCTACTGCCCCTAGCAATCTGGGTCTTCATTTTACCCACCTCAGAAGGATGGAAGTCTGAGTCAACCTGGAGTCTGATGAGAATCGAACTGCAGGCAGCCAGCAGTCAGCAGAATTAACCTGTAGTACTGCGTTCTAACCACTGCACCACTCCTGATATAAGTGGGTTGTGGCTCTCTCCAGAATCCGTCTGTGCGCATGGCAAAAACGGGTAGAGCAGGTGTTTTTCAACCTTGGCAACTTTAAGATGGTTGAGTCAGTTCCCAGAATTCCCCAGCTAGCATGGCCCTTAGATGAGAATTCAGAGAGTTGAAGTCCAAACATCAGCAGATTGGGGACAATGGAGAGTATATTATTGTTGCTGTGTGCTGCATTGTAGCCTTTTAATGCAGACCATGGCCATGTTTTTCAGCCTTGGCAACTAGCATGGATGGACTCGGGTCCCAGAATTCCACAGCCAGTAGCTGAAATTTTCTGGGAGTTGGGAGTCCATCCATCATAAGTTGTTCTGGCCAGCCTTCTTTGCCACCTTTGTCTTAAGGAGATTCTTCCCTCATCCACTCGATCACGTCCTTTGATTACAAGGGGCCTCCAAGATGAGTCTCAAAGTGGGCCTGTTCTCTAAGATTGGCCTTGGGGAAAATTAGGAGATTGGCTGTGAGGACAGGTTGCTTTTTGCTAACTCCAGGAATGGTGGAGAGGGTTCAAGAGGAGAAACTCCATCCATAGGAAGGCTTGTCGGCCCTCCAAAAATAGATCAAACTAGGAAACAAAAGACACGTAAACTAATATTACTTTTATTTATATGGTTAGTTACAGAACCGTGCAAGGGGGTATGCTACCCCCTCTCTCTATCCACAAGAGAGCTAAGGTCTAAGACGCTTTTATCAAATAACATTCCTGCTTTGGACTCAACTTTCTTTTGTCTGACCCTTGTCTTGGTTATAGCTCTTCCTCCTGTTCTTCCAGGTTGTTGCTACTGCCCATTGTAAGGTCTGAATGTCTTTTGGCTTTGATTTGCTTCTCAGCCTCCCTTCGGATGGTAGGAGGCCCTGCCTCTTAACTGTGCAAGCTTTTAGGGTCAAACTGGCATCAATGGGATGTGATTCTGGTGGATCATGGTTTAAGTCCAGCCTCAACAATGGAATCTGTGTTGATCACTTTGGGCTTGTCCCTCTTTCTCAGTCCAGTTTTTCCATGGAGTAAGCTGTAGGGCAGGGGTGTCAGACTCAAGGCCGGTGGCTGGATCTAACCATTGCATCACCAGGAAGAATGAGAAACGGAGGGAGGGAGGAAGGACGGACGGACTGACTGACAGACTTAGACTTATATACCACTTCACAGTACTCTACAGTCCTCTCTAAGTGGTTTACAGAGTCAGCCTATTGCTCCCAACAATCTGGGTCCTCATTTTACCCACCTTGGAAGGATGGAAGGCTGAGTCAACCTTGAGCCTGGTGGGATTTGAACTGCCAAATTGTAGGCAGCTGCTGCAGCAGAAGTAGCCTGCAGTACTGAACTCTAACCACTGTGCCACAGAGGCTTCTCTGTTATATATAATATATATTATATGTAATATATATCTGTTATAATAGTTGGAGAAGAAAACATTGCATAAACACTTTTGCATCTAATGAACATATAACAGATTCTAAATGCTTCGGAGCTTTTTTGCACATCCTGCTATTTGTCCTTTCTTTTTCAGAAGTCCTTTTTGCATGGCAGGCTGTATAAATTACAAAGCTGGAGGCCAGTGGGTCTTTCAGTGAGGAGGAAATGCGTCCTTGTTTATGCATTAGAGTGATCTGCCTCAACTTAGTTACGCATCGTTGAGTTGACTCCTAGTGATTGTTACGGGGCAAAAGCTTTTCGCTGTGACTTGCCTGCAGCAAAAATGTGTAACTCTTCCAAGAACAATCCTGTAATCTCTTGGATCGCACCCATTCACCATAACTTTAATCCCTCCTGGGTTTTTTTTTTCTACTCTGTTGTCCACTTGCCTCACATGCCCAAAATATGTGAGTTCTTGTTTCTTGATCTTTTGTTGACTGATTGTTAACGTCAGCTAAGCAGCAGTCTTTATTTGGTCCAGAACTGATTGATGGGTCTTTGTTGTACTTCATGATAGTCTCCAGATGACTTAATACGTCAGTCGTCTTTCTCATTGTCAAACCTTCACAATTGTATATCACCTGTAAAAAGAACAGTGCTCTAAATATTCTGGTCTTTGTTCTTATCCTTTATATTTTGTTTAAGTTATCATTGCCTTCTTCTTTAGTCTCCTGTTTACTTTTACAACATCCTGGCTCTCTTTTATTAAGTTGGAGCCTCAGAGACGCAAAGTATGAGTCATTTACACTCCCCATTGTGAATTTACTAAGCCAGTTGCTTGACACTGACAGGATGGTCCATATCCTTTTGTGATTTTGCTGTATTCAACAAAGCAAAGATAAGCCGCCCTCAAATGTTCTTCTCTCCGTTAACCATTTTGTGCTAGTTATCTGAACTGCCCTTCAGCCTTTTGCCTGCCTGCTCATTTGACATTTTTCCTGTAATGTTTTAAAGCAAATATTTGTGTGATAAACTTGTGCAAGTGATTCAACATTTACACATTTTAGTTGTTAGATATTTTCCAATCTCTGAGCATACAGACTTATCCAAATTGGTTGATCTATCGTTTTCCCGAAAATAGGACCTACCCTGAAAGTAAGTCCTAGCTTGATTTTTTTACATGTGCACCCAATATAAGCTCTACCCCCAAAATAAACCCTAATTAAGATCCTGCCCACTCCAAAGTGCACTGGTAAAAATTAAGCTAGGGTAGTGATGGGAGGTGGAGCTGCCCTACTACTTACCTTTGGATAGTTGTAGCCAGGCCTCGCACACCCCGACACCTGCCTTCCTGGCCCATTTCTTCTGCAGCTGGCAAGGCTGGCAAGACTTTCCGGAAGGCCTCTAGCTGATAACAAAGCTCTGGATCAATCCAGAGCTCTGTTATCAGCTGCTGAGGCCTTCAGGAAAGCCATTCTGGCCACAGAAAAACAAGTTACTGAAGGCCTCTGACAGTGAAAAGGAGGTTAGAGGCAACACATACAAGTGAGGTTAGTAAGTGGATGGCATCCCCCGAAAATAAGACCTGATGGGTTTTTTGGTAGCAAAAAAAAAATACAGGACAGGGTCTTATTTTTGGGGAAACATGGGTATTGCTGTTAGAGCTTTCACTGCCCTTTCTCCTGCAGTTTTAAACAATGGTTATTTCATTTGGGATTGAAGCTCTCTCATTGACCAACTGGTTTATTGCCTGCCATGCCTCATTTACTAATTGAGGGTTTTTTGTTTGTTTTTTTTGCAAATGTTCGTGTTTGCACAAATATTTTTATTTTTACACTTTTAATAATTGTGTTTATTAAAAGCTTCGGGGTAGTTTGTTGTTTCTTTTATCTCAAGCTCAACCAGGTGTCTTTAATGGTTATTCCTGCTTGTTCCTTCAGAGCTGGACTTTTTTATGGAGGTTCTTTGATCTACTTAAAATATGTCTTTAATTTAGGTATTTATCATATTGGTGTAGCCTCCCACATGAAAGTGATTCTGAGTGGCATACGGCACTCCTTTAGTTTCTCTATTCCTCCTTTTGTTGATGTGCATAATTGACCAACCTATGTATGTAATTCTTGCTTTATGTTAGAAAATCTGTTTTTGTTCATCAAATGTCCTTTTTCACTCCAAGCATTCTCTACCTTTTTTTCCTTGCTATCAGGATATCTCCTCCTATCAGCCACGGGAATCGTTTTCTCTTCAAAGTTTTGAGAACATTTTGCCTTAAAGTTGGGAGATAACCCTTGGCCTTCCCATTGTTACCCCCACGATGCTTTATCTTTCTTCAGATTTGGGATCAGGGCAAGCCTCTTGATATCCCAGGGCTCTGAGAAAAGCGTAACTTGCCTCACTTCTTTGGTATGTTGTTACAACATTCATGAAGTCATCTTGCTTTCCTTTCCCCACCTAAAGCTATTTCTTATCAACCTAAAAGTTCCTTTACATCCCAATTAGTCATATCTGGTTGAACCATTTTTGTGACAGGTAATTGGTCTTTTGACTCATGGTTTGAAAACATGACTATTTTACCAGGGGGGATTTCTTCTACGGTGCTTTTAACCCTGTTATAATCTCCTTTTTCTTAGCTGAAGGGTTTCAAGGAATGTGGCCATCTTGGAAACCCATACCCTGAGCTTGAACAGTTCTAAAGATCCTTCTGGAGCCCATTACCCTGAGAGGAAGAAATGGCTGTCCAGACCACACGGCGCTTGGCCTGGGTATCAGTAGCACTGGTTTTGGTCGTGGCAAAGCCATCCCAGACCCAAAGGTGTTCCTTCGAGGAGGTGGACGACACTACGATCGATATCCCAGCAGCCTTTTCCAAAGGCATCAGGGGGACGGATCCGATCTATACACCATCTTGGAACGCCTGTGTGGAGAATTGCTGCTCGGAAAGAATAGCAGGTAACAGCCACATATTTGAGGCCAAGTAAGGTGCTAGGCTCGGAAGAGAGTCTCCTGGATGTTTTATGGACCATTGTGTACCACCGGGTCTATTTCCAGATAACCGGCCTAGCCCACACATTGCAATAATGGTGTTTGCCTTGGTTTTGCATAGTGAGTTGCACGGAGATCTTGCTGTTGTTGTCTGGATTCCAGCAATCGCTCTAATTAAATCATGATTCTTGAGCCAAACTTCAAAAAACTTCAAAGGATTTATTAAAGACAACATACTGGCACTGTCCTGTATGAAGCCAACTCTGGCACATATAATTTACAGTCACCTGTTTCCCCCCTGGGTGGGTCATAAATCAGATTCTCCAATTGAGCACGTTCATGGGCTGGGTGTCATCACGTTCTCCAATTAAATATATTCGTGGGCAAAAGCTCTGGTATTTTAGTTACAATCTTTTAAAGAGAAGAGTTGGAATATACTTTCGATTTCAAACTGCTGCACTGCTCTTCCATATTTCCTTCCTCCCCCTCCCCTTTTTTTATGGCAACTACTCAAACAGGCATAGGAACGTTGTATGAATTGACAGGTGTATGCAGACCAGGCTCAGTGGCTTCCCTTATAGACCCTGCAGGTATTCAAGAAGAAAGCTCTAAATGGTGATCCCAGAACAAAGACTGTCAATGTATCTTGTACTGTCTATGGGGATGCTCAGTCATCCAGGTCATGGTTGTCCCAAAGGTGTTTTTTTTTTCAAGAAGCAATTAGACTGTCGTTTGTTTTTTCTTTGAAGACGTTTCGCTTCTCATCCATTCTTCAGCTCTGACTGGATGGTGGGGTGTCATGCCCTTGGTAGAGTCAGACTCTGAGGGGGAGGAGGAACAGTTGAAAGTGAGCGGAGGTGTGACTCCAGAGGTTGTGGAGGAGGCTGAGGAAGGGCAGAGGCTGGCTGGGCAGTCAGAGGAAGAACCAGGCCCATCCCCTCATCATCCTAGGACATGCAGGGAGGAACGGAGAAGGAAACAACTTGGCTTACGAGAGAAGAAGCAGCCATGATCCCCTTCATTGGTTGCAGCTGGGGAGAATAGTATATAAGAGAGACGGTTAAAACACAGCATTGTCCCTTCACTAGTTGAAGACGGGCAGGCTGTTGGGGATGAGTCTGTGTTGTCTGCATGTCAAACTAAAGTGTAAATGGTTCCTGTACTCTGCAACTTTTCTGGAAATCTGTTCATACTCCCACACCATTCAAAGGGGGATCGTCCCAAAGTGAATAGCTAAAAGTCTATGGAGATTCTCAGTCGTCCAGGTCATGGTTGTCCCAAAGTTGCTTTTTCATGAGGTAATTAGACTTTCTTTGTTTTTCCTTGAAGACGTTTCACTTCTCATCCAAGAAGCTTCTTCAGCTCTAACTGGATGATGGGGGAATGGAAGGATTTATACTCCTTGTGGACAGCTGGTCATTTGCATTATTCTAGGCCTCTTGTACTGCTGGATTTTTGCCACTGACCCAGGCTGACCACTTCGCTCTCTCTCTCTCTCTCTCTCTCTCTGAGGCTTTCAGCACAGGTTGTTTCCATCCTCCTCCACTCTGCCTCAATTCCCCCCCCCCCCTTTGTAGAAATGCAAGGTCTCATCTTCGGACACTTGAGGTCAACCTCCTGGATTTCATTTTAAATAGGTAGGTAGGTAGGTAGGTAGGTAGATAGATAGATAGATAGATAGATAGATAGATAGATAGATAGATAGATAGATAGATAGATAGAAGAGAGAGAGAGAGAGAGAGAGAGAGAAAGAAAGAAAGAGAAAGAAAGAAAGAAAAAGAAAGAAAGAAAGAAAGAAAGAAAGAAAGAAAGAAAGAAAGAAAGAAAGAAAGAAAAAGAGAGAGAGAGAGAAAATTATTTATTGGTCAAGTGTGATTAGACACACAAGGAATTTGTCTTGGTGCATATGCTCTCAGTGTACATAAAAAGAAAAGATACATTCGTCAAGAATCATCAGGTACAACACTTAATAGTCACAGGGTACAATAAGCAATCAAATCATACTAGGAAACAGTCAATATAAATCATAAGTATACAAGCGACAAAGTTACAGTCATGCAGTCACAAATGGGAGGGGATTGGTGATAAGGAGAGGTGAGAAGATTAATAGTAATAGTAGTGCAGACTTAGTAAATAGTAGGACAGTGTTGAGGGAATTATTTGTTTAGCAAAGTGATGGCGTTGGGGGAAAAACTGTCCTTGTGTCTAGTTGTTCTGGTGTGCAGGGCTCTATAGCGTCGTTTTGAGAGTAGAAGTTGAAACAGTTTGTGTCCGGGATGTGAGGGGTCTGTAGATAATTTCACAGGCCTCTTTTTGACATGCAGTATACAGGTTCATAAATTTTCTCATTCATGCAGCTCCCTTGGAATCCAGGATAAATTCTTCGTTATTCAGTGTAAATTTCTCCACTGGAAATGGGTTCTGAGGAAGCCAAGTCACAGGATTATTGGGAGAATAAAAAGAGGTCAGGTAGACTGTTCAGCACTCCTTGGGATAATGATGGGGAACATGTTTATTTTTAAACAAAACAAAAAATCAGTAAGAAGAAAGACTATTTCCTGGCATCCCTATAAGTATAACAGTTGGAATTGCAAGTAGTCCTCAATCAGTGATCACAGTGGGGACCAACAACTCGGACATAAAGCAAAGCGGTCATTAAATGAGACTCCACCTGTGCTTTTACAATCTTCCTTCAGCTTTGCTTTATAGACCTCTGGAGGTGAGGATGTAAATGCCAAGATTGGTGGTAAAGTTGGCTTTTTTTGTCACCTCGTAACTGCAAACAGTCACAGTATAAGGCAGTCACTAAACAAGGACTTCTTGTATAGGCAAGCAGGAGTGAACATCCAACAAACTTGCTGATAAACACAAGGACAATTCTGACAATCATGCACAGGTTGAATATATCTGGGGCTTTTGAGATGGCGGTGGGGCCATCTTATGGATGACGTTATTTTTGAGAACTCCCTTCTCTTCCCTTGCATGGAATTACTAGATCTGGGGTCTTCAAACTTGACAGCTTTAAGATTTGTGGACTTCAACTCCCAGAATTCCTCCTCTGGTCATGTTAGCTCAGGAATTCTGGGAGTTGAAGTCCACAAGTCTTAAACTTGCTGAGTTTGAAGACCCTTGTACTAACTAGATGTTCATACGACAAACACAAAACTTGCTGTTAAAATACATTCTCTCTGTTTCTCTGTTTTCTAGGTGATAAGAGGTGCAACTATGCCATCTTTAACACCAAAATGAAGGGCAGTTCTCCAAATTGCTATCACTTTTATTTCCCTGCCCAAGAAACCTGTCCCGTAAAACCAGCATTAGGACTGATCACGTACAGAATAATAGAAGGTAAATGGAAATCTACTGATCGGCCAGTTCAATTAGTCATTTGCTGGAAACTGTAACATGAAATACTTGAAATAGCTCCATTAGACTCTCCAAGCAGTCAAACCAGCTTTAAAGGATTTCGTAAGTCAAACTTTGCCGACCTTCCTTCAAAAAGTGGAAAGTAGCAAATGTTATTATAAAGAAACTGAATCTTTTTCTTTCTCACGCTCCAGAAAAATAAGTTTTTTCCCAAAATCGAGCCTGTGGTGATATCATGGGAAAATAATCATGTTTTTTTCCCAGAGCTGTTATTCTATTCATTTGCTAATTGTGTGTGTGTGTGTGTGTGTGTGTGTGTGTTGGAATGTAATCCGAAATCTCAGGAGGAAGGGGCCCCTCTCCTGAGACTCCAGATTACATTCCATCACACAATGTAATGAATAAGTGACTATTTTAATAAGCCAGTACCATTCTTACTCAATGGGGATATTTAATTTTTATCCCCAGATCTGTTGTTTTTTTTTTTTTTTTGCAAAGCAAGCCATATACTTCAAGGCACAATGTGGGATCTGTTATCAAAGAGTCTCTGGATGGATTCTTTTAATAGAATATAAACCATAAACATAATTGTAAATGATCTCATCTTTATCACAATTCCTTCTTAAATTGATTGATGATTGTCAAGCACCCGTTAGTGCTAAAATTGAATTTGGGTGGAGGGCTTTCTCTCCCCAAGACCAATGTGCCAGGTTTCTACCTTAACTACCTGAATCTTTATGATTACAACAGCACGTTTCAGCAAATTGTGTGACTCCCAATTGTAATCCTTGATTCACGAACCAACCAGCAGGAGCATTCTGCAAAGAGCAATAAATATTCTTAAGAGATTTTGTGGTTTCAGGCATTTCCTACTCACCTGCCAAAAATCTACAGCCTTCAGATTTCTGAGAAAATGGCTGTCAAGATAAACCACTTTCAGATTCATTTTTTGAGCTAGGTATGTGTTCATACCTAGCCTGTTTCCAAACCTGTTTCCAAGAGAGCAAACACAAGACAAAGGCAGCAGCCCTCCCTTTTAATATTTCATCTATGAATTCTGTTTATTCACAGATAAAAGGCTGCTTCCAACTAATTAGCTCCAACAAGAAAGAGCCTTGCCAAATTTTTTCAAGGCTGCCAAAAAACAACAGATAAGAAATAGTTTACAACACAAGAGTCTTCAAATACCAACTGTAATGTCCACGAGGCTGAGTTTCAAAACGTCTTTGCTTTCTGCAAAGAACGTTCGCTGCACAGCTGCCTTTTATCTTCTTGAAGGAGGGGCCATTACCTTGCAGCCTTACTCCTGAGTCGCCCGTGCTGTTGTAGCTGCTCTTTCCTGAGAGCAATCCTGCGTGCACGCACACTTGGCACAGGCTCCTTGGGAACCACCTCATCTCTGCTGCCTGCCCCCCCAATCTCTGAAGCTAGCAGTCCACTCCCTAATGGTCCTGGCCCCTCATCTGAGTCCTCGCCCTTCTCAGCCGTCCGCACCTGCTGCTGACTAACCACAACAGTACGGCTGTCAGCATTCCAAGTAATGCCACCCATAGAAAACAAACTCTGAGGCACTTGAGGTCCTCAAAGAATAGTTTATTGGGTACATCATATTGGCACAAATTGGTGAAAGTCGACTCTGGGGTTTCCTGTGGCTTTCACCTAATTAAAAGTAAAAGTGTTCCCCTTCCCCTCCAAATCACCGGTCGCGCTGTCCAATCCAGATGCTGGCTGGTTTCCAGGTTACTTGCTCCTCCTCTGGCCAGCCACCTGTGGGAATGTCCTTGGTTCCCATAGGAAAACTTTAGTGTTTTGGCTACAAAACCCCATCTAACTATTTCCCCCCATCCCACTGCTGTGTGGCAACCCTGAAGCCTTCCAAGATAGTCTCGGCCAGGTTTATTTCAGGGTTGACAATGGCTTTACTTTCATATGAAGAAACAGTGAGGCTGCGCATTTCCTACTCCTAAGAAATTCATGGGAGTAATCTTGTAATGGTTTAAGGCCCATTCATGATGACTTCTTGATGTGTCTTGAGATTGTTTTTTTATTTTTATTTTGCTGAGGTGTAGAGAATAATCTGTCTACCTTTTCTTTTCTTCTTTAGGCAAAGAGCTATTCAAACCAGCTCCTTCCTTAAACAAAGTCCCTCATTCTATAGTGAACGGAAGTCTGGCATCCCCACAAGCAGCTGAGTTTGGCCTTGCAAGGCCCCTGGGCGGACCGGATTCTTTGGCCAAGACCTCTACGAAAGAGGAAATCTTTGGCCCTTCAGACCATTCCTTTGAGGAAGTGGATGGATCCCCCCAGCATCCCAAGGCTGGAAGGACAAATGGAGTGGAGACTTTGGGTTCTTCGATCGGGCATGAAAGCAACAGTGCTGCTAGCACCATCCAACAATCCACTCCTGTTAAACTATCCCTTGCCACCCTTGACTCTTTGACCAGCAGGACTGTTGGTGATGCTGCAGCCATTCATAATCCTCCAAGCCACACCACTACTGCTTCACCTTATGCCGGAAAGACAGAGGCGGCCACTCTCCAGCCAAGCGAGGGCCCTGTTTCCAAACCATTGCTTCCTTCCGAAACCGATCCTCGCGGTTTCAGTTCATTGTCATCCGCCCCGTCTACTCCAACTGCTTCTCTTCGGGGCTCCCACCTTAGCGATGGACGGCTTAGTTTGGAAGGCTTCACCCCTGACGACAACCCAGCCGGGAACGATTTCTCCCTGCTGACTGACCAAAGCATCCTCCTCGCTGCCTTGTTTTTCGGGGTGCTGTTTTTCTTCTTGGCAGTGGTGCTGATAGGGGGCAAAATCTGCTGCTCACGCCAGCCACAGCGCTACACCAGGCTGGATTACTTGATCAATGACATGTACGCCAATATGTGAAGGTGTGTGATGACCGGGGGCGTGGCGCAAAGTCAACATAGCGAGAATCCCTTTATTAGCTTCCAAAGTCCTGGTTACCTTCTGGCATAGAGAAAAACTCTCCCAGGAACAGCCTTTGGCTGCAGAGATTCAAGTTCAAAAAGTTGTCAACAGAAAATTTTATAAGTCCAATTGAGGCAAGATGAGGTAATTAATCCGACAGAGCAAGATGAGGAGTTGCAGAAGGGAAATAGCATGACAGTAAATCAACCCAGTTGGGAGGATGCCAGGAATGCAGATAACAGTCAACACAAGATAAACTCACGTTTGTCCCGGCTAATGCAGCTCTCAGCTGCCTCTCCTTTAAACTCTCATTCACAGGTGTGCCTAGTGAAGGGAATCAGGGCCGTTTCCTCCCCCCGTAAGCCATGCAACCCACGTTGCTCTCTTCTCTGTTCTTCCTTGCGTGCCCTAGGATGAAGAGGCAGTTGGCCTGGGTCTTCCTCTGAACTCCCTCTCCTTTGCTCTACCTCTCCCCTGCTCTGCCCAGCCAGCTTTTGCCCTTCCCCAGTTTCCTCCACAGGCAACGGAGCCACACTCCCACTTCCTGTCAGCTGTTCATCTTCCTTGGATTCAGACTCTGTCGGGGGCGTAACAATATGAGAGGGACTTGGGGGCACCTCCGTGGTGAGCGTGGAAGAGTTTGGCTGGCTGTGGCCTTCAGGGGAAAAAAAAAAGATGGATTGAATTTGGTCTAATGCAGTTCTACCCACCCAGGTCACAATGTCCCACTGGTTTCATAATATTTTGCTTTCCCTTACGATCCCCTTCCTCGTTGATGATACCTAGGGATACCTAGATGATACATATGTCTCACATAGGGATAGCCCATTGTTCCTTCCCACCTGAGAAAGTATAGGGGCCCAAGCCTATTCATTTGACGAGTTCATCCTTAATTCACTTTGGGGCACTATGGGAAAAATGAGTGTCCATCAGAGCACTTTGGCTACCACGCCCTTCTAGAGTCGATCAAGTTTCTTTCATTCTTCTGTCCGTTATAACCCTGGCATTGAAAAAAAAATCTGCCAAGAAGGAAGAGGTTTATTTTAGTTTTAAAAGGCAAAATGTGGAGTTGATCTGCCTACAGGGTATTTAGTTCCTGGAGTGCAGAGTGCCACACTGTGTGCAAAAATCATTTAGACCAGGGGTGTCCAACCTTGGCAACTTTAAGACTTGTGGAAAGCTGGCTGAGGAATTCTGGGAGTTGAAGTCCACAAGTCTTAAAGTTGCCAAGGTTGGACACCCCTGATTTAGACCAAACAACACATGGCAACAGTGTTCATTGGTGCCAGCCCTTCAGATTGGCCAGATGAGCCATAGTGGCGCAGCGGTTAGAGTTCAGTACTGCAGGGCTACTTCTGCTGACTGCAATTTGGCAGTTCGAATCTCACCAGGCTCAAGGTCGACTCAGCCTTCCATCCTTCTGAGGTGGGAGCAATAGGCTGATTCTGCAATCCATTTAGAAAGGACTGTAAAGCGGTATATAAGCCTAAGTGCTATTGCTATTAGGAAATATACCACAACAATCACTACCTTAAAGCATATAGTAACAGAATTTGATAGCTTGACAAGAGTCTCTCTCTCTCTCTCTCCTTGGTGCTTATACCCAAGAGAATTAAGATGGAGGAATGTTCAGATTCTTAACTTGTTCTGATTTTCTGATCTAAACTGGGGTTTCCTTGATGGCTTACACAGACCTTCCTCCAGGCCGCCTATATATAATATATAGGTTGTTAACACTACCTAACAAAGCTAGTAAGTGCAAAATTTGGACCTGGGAAAAAAAGCACAGCTTTTTGCTCCAAAATTGGCTGTGTCTTCTGAGCTGATTTCTGTGTTCAGCAGCTGAGCCGGTTTTAATTTTAATTTTTTTACATTTTAAGCTCAGCTGTAGCGTTCAACGACAAAAATCAGATCATAATACGGAAGCTTCTCTTTGATCAGGAGGGATTCCGCCCCGATATCTCCTGGCTTCAGCACTTCAACTGGAGATGCCTTCTTGTCTTCAGGTCCTTAAAAGAGGGACCATGTTGGGGAGCTGCATCTGTTCCCCCTTCAACATGGGTGGCCTACGATCGCCTCTTTACAACCTGCGGACTTCAATTCCCAGAATTCCTGAGCCAGCATTGCTCACCCACCCACCTGCCCCGCAGGGTAATTGCTGGAATGGTTTTGCATTGAGCTGAGCAGATGCACGCACACCACACTGGGTTCCATTTAAAAACACAGCTGGGGTGGAACGGGAGCTTTTGTGTGCAGTTTCTGGTGTGGAAGGGGTCCAGGCCCAGGGAATCGGCATGAAATTGGCCAGTCTTTTTTCCTCCCTTTTTATCGGGCCAGCCTACAAAGCTGCCAATGTGAGGCTGTCAGTTTTTAACAATCACATTTTCCATTATATGGAAAAAGGAATTGTTTTGTATTGGCGCTAACAGTACAACTTACAACCCTTGCTTAGCAACCCATCAAACTTGCAATGGCACTGAAAAAAGTGACATGGCTGGTCTTTACACAACTGTTGTAGCTGTTCTGACCAAGGCTTCCCAAGACCATAATTAAGCACATGCTTAGTTAAAACAACTCTTGGTTTATTTCAGCACTGAGAATTATTTTCATTCCCAGCCAGTAATGAATCCCAAACAGTCCCTCAAGATAAGCCACCTTTCTTTCCTTTGAATTGCTGCCAACAACTAGAGTGCCAAATGAATTATAAAAAAACAACCAAAGTATAAAATCCACACAAAGCTTCAATGATTAATATGAACAGAATGAATGACTTTGCTTCCTGCAAAGGTTTCTTCACCTTTGCCGGTCCTTTATGTCTTACGGGAGGGCCAATCGCCTCCCAGTCTTACTCCCGAGTTGCCCCTTTTATCTCAGCTGCTCTTGCCTTCTAGCAGCTCTGCACACACGTGCACTGGGAACAGGCTCCCCTGGGTCCTCTGCCTCGCTGCTTTCAGACTCCGAAGGCTCCAGAGTCAGCACACAACTCCCAGATGGTCCTGGCCCCATCTCTGCATTGGATGCAGGACCTTCGTCCGAGTCCTCTCCAGGCTCCTGGACTGGTCCCCGTTCTTCCCCACTGTCCGACTGCTGCCGGCGAACCACAGCAGTAGCATCACCAGAGTCATATGATCAAAAGATGGGTTACTTGGCAACCAGTCTATATGGGGATTGCCATGCTCTGGGTCACGTGATCGCTTTTCCCAACTTTCCCATTCCGCTTCCAACAAGCAAAAATCCGTGGGGGAAGCTGGATTCACTTAAACAATCATGTGATTTGTTTCGCCACTGGCAAAAAAATAAAAAAATGGCTGTGATCCACTTAACAACAGCCTTGCTTAGCCGTGGACATTCTGGTCCAAGTTGTGGTCGTAAGTCAAGGACTGCATGCAGCTACAAAAATCAGGAATAGCCACCAGATGGTGACAAAAGAAGATTTCTGTCTCCTTGCTGCCCTCTAGCGTTTACACAAATTCTTGTAGCTCAGGTGTAATAGTTTTTTTTTAATTATTTTTCTCTCTCTTGGAAATGATTTCTACTGCCGATTATTTAAGCAATAATAAAGTTTGAGCTGATTTAAAGGGTTTAAAATAAATCCAAGCAGTGTTTGGACAGTTATTTCCTTTTTTAAAAATGTTGGGCTGTTATTTCGTGATCGGTTTGAAAGGCATCTTTTCATCTTTCAGAGCGTTGCTTTCCAGGAGGTTTTAGGTATGAAGTATCTTCATGACCCCATAATCCCTTGCATCGGGGTGGAGCTGAGTGCTTGCTGGCCAGATGCCCTTCCTGTTACCAATGTGGAGTGTGTTTTCATATATTCTCATTGTGCTCAATGAGAGATATCTGCCTCTACCTAGGATTAAACTCACAGCCTCCTGATTGTGAGGCGAGAGCTCCACCTCTAGGGCACCTCACCTCTCTTGTAGATATGAATTATGCCATTTGGAAAAGGCTACAAAGCATCTTCTGATTCTTTTGTGCCTAAAGTGGGACTAGAACTCATGATAACTTGGATTTCCAGACTGCTGCTTTTATTCTAAAGGGGGCATGATGGCAGTTGAGCTTGTCAACCGGAAAGCTGATAGCCCAGGTTTGAGACCCGAGTGCCACGTGACAGAGTGAGTTCCCGTTACTTGCCCTAATTCCTGCCCACCTAGCAGTTCAAAAGCATGTAAATGCAAATAGATAAATAGGTACCACTTTGGCGGGAAAATAAGCATTTTGCATGCTTTTGGCATAGAGCTATGCTGGCCACATGACCATGGTAATTATATGGGCAACACTGGCTCTTTCGGCCAAGAAACAGATGAGTACCAAGCTCTAGAGTCGGACCCTGACTGGACAGGGGAAACTACCTTTTCTTGCTTTTAACCACCAGCCTGTTTTCTGCAGTATTAGTGTTTTAATTTGTGTATGTATTTTGTGACTAGATGGAAGAAAGAGAGGCAAAGTAATTCCAGGTAGTGGCCTTATCCCTATAGGTAAAGGTTCCCCTCGCACATCCGGTACAAAGCCAAAGAGCCAGCGCTGTCCAAAGACGTCTCCGTGGTCATGTGGCCAGCATGACTAAACGCCGAAGGCACACAGAACGCTGTTACCTTCCCAACAAAGGTAACATTTCTACTTGCATTTTTTACGTGCTTTCGAACTGCTAGGTTGGCAGAAGCTGGGACAAGTAACAGGAGCTCACTCCATTATGCGGCGCTAGGGATTCGAACCGCCAAACTGCTGACCTTTCTGATCAACAAGCTCAGTGTCTTAGCCACTGAGCCACCACATCCCTCTAGTGTTACCCCTATACTGTTACCGTTATATTGTACATTAAAAAAAGAAAAACTTTGATTCCAGGCCTTGTCCAAATTTCTTTATACTCCCTTCACTGGTCCATTTCTGGAGAATGGATGTTTTGATGGTGATAGATTAATTCACCTACAGAATCAAGAAACTGCTTTGCAAGCATTTGGTTAATCTTCCCTTGCAGAAGTGCCCAGTCAAAGTTTTCCCCCCATGCGCAAAGGCTTGTACTTACATCAGGCTAATTTATGACTCTATAATTGGTTAGTTTACTTTATTGTCATTGCACCTTGTACAAGGAAATCAAGCACCATCTTCAGTGCACATCATGACCATGAAAATAAACACAAACACACATCCTTCACCCTTCACACATTGAACCGAAACCCCTGACACTGCACTATACAGTAGAATTCAATAGAGTTACTGCTCTGGGATAGAAGCTGTTTTTAGCCTATTTGTCCTTGTTTTTATTATCCTGTACCCTCCGTCTGCCAGATGGTAATAGTTCAAAAAAAGGGGGGGGGGTCCCCCTGGATGAGATGGATCTTTGAGAATGTTTTGAACTTTCTTAAGGCAGCGGGAGCTATAAAGCTCTTCCAAAGAGGGGAGAGGGCAACCCATGATCTTCTGGGCAATAAAAACGTTAACCCTCTGGAGTGCTGTCCTATCTGCCCCTGTGCAATTGGCAATCCATACAGAGGTGCAGTATGTTAAGATGTTCTCTAATTGAGAGGATGAAGAGAGGGCTCGTGGCAGCTTTGCATTGACAAATGTTTTTTTTTTCCTTCCCCTCGATCTCCTTACCAACTGAAATAAAAATAGCCCAGGGATTGTTTGGTAACAGCTTAATTTGTACAAATAGGTTGTCCCAATGCATAGAAATGGATCAACCACTAATGGCTGAAGTGCAAATTGCTATTAAGGTCACTCTGGAACAAGGGTATCCAACCTTAGCAACTTGAAGATTTGTGGACTTCAACTCCCAGAATTCCTCAGGTCTTCTAGTCCCTTTCCTTAAAGGGACTTCAAGAGACAGAAGTTTTCAAACTCCTAACTATGACTTTGAGATTAAACTAGGCCTTCAAGCTTGTGTACTTTTTCCTTGGTCTGCAACAAGGAAGGGTTTTTTTTTCTTTTTAATGGCAGCATTACTGGTGATTAGGATTTTAAGGAATCTGGCAGGAAAAGCCAGGGCCCATTCATTAGAAAAACAAAAACAAAACATGTTTATGCAGAATTTTTTGCAGTCAATTGAATTTGCTACAATGCCACGAATGTGCTGCTTAATTTAACACCTTTGAGAAGTACCAGTAAATGGTGGGGGGGGGGGGGGGGGGAGAGGAGAAAATAGGAATGCTGTTTCAGGAATGGGGGGAAAAATCACCAGTAGGAATATTTAAAGGAAAGCACCATCCAACATAGAAAAGAGCAACTTTTCAGCATTTGATTCCATTCAAAGATATTTCTGGATGGCAGTTGGAAAATTCATCAGGCTAAGAACAATGGAGGGGTTTTACTTTTATACTGAATTTTTAATGTAGTAAGGTAAGAACCAGGAGTTTCAGTGTCTTAAACTGGGCAGCGATATTATTATTTTTTTTACTAAATAAGTAAGATAAAATGATCATTAGAGGGCAGCAAAGATTGAAAAGATGCTGCTATTCTAAACTTCAAACTGAGGGCATTATGATGGCTTCCTTTATCCCTTCCCATGGTTCTTTTCCCAGGGAGACTCAGCAGCAGTAAAAAACAAAACAAAAACAGAGGTGCCCATCTGTATTTTTGCAGCTGTTCCACAGCCTGGAATATCCAGTTAGTTCTTGACAAGCAGTCTTTAACCAACAACTAATCTTGGCCACTCGCTGATGCATTCTGCCTTCATAATGTAGTTTGCAACAGAAGTGCTGGAAACCGTTAAAAAACAACGTTAATTAAGCCAGTAACCTGGGAGATTTTAATGTGGAAATAAATTGGGCTGAGA